TGTCATGAGACAAAGTGTATGTGAACTGCTGTATGGAAAGTGTATTTGCTCTGTAAATTTTCACCCAAATCACAATAAAATAAATAAATAAATAAATAAAATACCAGACTAGGCCCTGAGATTTCTACACAACCTCCATTTCACTAATAATTCACTGCTTGGGACAATACCTGTTCAGGGCAACAATGTGTCAAGCAAAAGCAAGCAAGGTACTCTCTCTCCCCTGAATTATAGTCATAATGTGAGTAGCTATACTTTGGTGGACAACCTATTCAAACCGTCCAAGAAATCTGAATAATTAAGAATCAGCATTTCTGCACAAACAAGACATCTACACTGGGCCCAAGGGCTAAGTGTAAATGTAACTGTGCATAAACCTTTATCACTACAGATTCCTAGAGCTAGTCCATGAGCCATAAACTGCCTATCATGGTTACTGTGAAGTTTAAATGAGATTATGCCCGGAACCAAACCCAGACAGCAAAGCTAGGGTATTAGCGGTTATTACCAGCCAAGATTCAGAGAGGCAGGGTTTAGTGGTTTACCTTCCGTTTATGAATAGCTTTGGAAAGGGGTGGGGAAGGTGTCAAAATAATAGTTTAACTCTTCCATACAAACTAAAACGTTACTGCGGGGCGATGGCAGTGTGCACTTCGGCACCTCAAGGTGAGTTTCACGGTTTTTTTTTTTTAGCTGCTCAGTCAGCTAGGGAGTCTAGGGCCAAAAGGTGTGCGGCTCTGGGGCTCTGCCTAAATTAGAGGCTGCGACCGGGGCCCCTCTCCTCTAGCGCCTCCTGACCTTAGGGTGGGTGCCCATCCAGGCGTCTTCGGGGGCCCACAGGTCGCAGCTACCGCCGCCTCCGCTACGCATGCCGACCCGGCCAAGGCCGCTGCAACCCGGGGTTGGTTCGGAATCGCCGCGTTCCTCCATGCCCAGCCGTGCGGCGTGCCAATGGTGCACAGCGCCCCGCGCCCGGCCAGAAGCAAGGGCGAGTGCGTCAGGGTTCCGCCTCCCCGCAGCCCGCCGCTCGCACCCTCCCAGCGCCAGAGGTCAGATACTGGGAGAAAGATTGGAGCAGCGTCTCTGAAAAATGTAGCTAGACCCTGCAGGAATGTACTCTTGTTTCGCTCTACATTTATTCATTTCAGGATAGATTATAATGCGAAGAAGACTAAAGAGCATCCTGCTTCCAGAAGCCCTCACTCCTCATTAAGTCAGTGCACTTTGCTGCTGTGTTGATAAAGTGGGGATTCATAACTCCATTTTCACTCCAGCATTGGGTCCAAGTCTTCAATTATTGGGCAAAGGAAAAGCCACATTCAATGCCCTGTCGTAAAAGGTTAACGCCAAGGATACATTTTTAGGGTGGACACACCATTTAGGATTGGAGGAGCAAGAGCAAACAAGTTGTTGAATAAGTGGTCAGAAAGGCAGGATGCAAACAAGCAAAAGGTATGTGACTTGGAAGCCAAGAACAAGAAGTTTCAGACAGTCAGAGTAGGACATTTTAAGCACTTTGGGTTGTTTGTTTGTTTAAAAAAAAAAAAGAAAGAAAACTTTTTATTGTGATTTGGGTGAAATTTTACAAAGCAGATTCATTTTATACTTAGCAGTTCATACACATTTTGTTTCCTAGCACTAATTACAATCCCCACAATGTAACAACTCTCTTCCCATTTCCTCTGTGTGGTTACCCTTTCCCTGTGTCCTTCTTGCCTATGCATTCCTGCCTCTCTAGCTTTTTCTTTGTGCAAATGCTCCCCTTCTGATCTCCCATGGTTAACTGTTCTAAGGAGTAATTATCTTTGGTGTACTTGTTCAGCTCATAGCCCAATCTGTCGTTTGGCTGAGAGTAAAGCCACAGGAGTGAGTCAATTCCATACCCAAAGGGTGACCATTTCACTAATAATAGTCTCAGGGGTTCCACCAGTCTATCTGACCAGCAATCCTGATGTTTTTTTATGTTTTTGAATTTTGTTCCACATTTTTTCTCCCATTCTATCTAGGATCTCCAATTTGATCCTATTCTGAGTGATTGCATTGGTAATCAGGCAATAGTTCTTCTGGTCTCAGGGTCATGTTAACTCAGGTTCACATTGTCCAGTAGTCCTTTTGACTAATTGGTTCCCTGCGTCTTTAATTTTGTTCACTCTTCTTTGCTCCAGGTGAGGAGAGACCAATAGTTGCATGTTAGATGACCACTCTCAAGCTTTAAAACCTCAGTCACCTGTGGAACAAAACTCAAAATCATAAAAAAAAAAGACCAGATTTGCTGGTCTGATAGAGCCTGGTGAGATCCCTGAGACTATAGCCCCTAGCTATCCTTCAGGTCTGGAATTGAACTCACTTCTGTGGCTTCCAGCCAAACAAATAGACAGGCATATGGGGTGAACATTTACATTAGATAGATACTCCTTGGAGCAATCAGTTATGGGAGAACTGAGGGGCAGTGTTCGCACAAGGAGACAACTGGGAATGGGGGATGTGTGGAAGGGAAGGACTCAGGAAAGAGGTAACCATAGGGAGAAAGTGGGAAGAGAGCTGTTACATTGTAGGAAATTGCAGTCAATGTCATGAGACAAAATGTGTATGAACTCCTGTATGGAAAATGAATTTGCCCTGTAAACTTTCACCCAAATCACAAAAACAAAAAACAAAACAAACACCTCAGTCACTACCCACCAAAGTAGAATGTAGGACAATGTTTGTGTGTACTATGCTGTGCCAGTTGAGCTTGATGTGCCCCTTGATCATTGTCCTGAGCCCATAGGCTTAGGGACTCACTCACTCAAGGTGTGTAGTTGTGGCTAAGATGTTGTCCTAATTTTGTCCCCTGTTATCTTTGTAATGCATGTGGACATTTTTATAGCACATACAAAAAGGTACAGGGAGGCAAATGCGGATATATGCATGACCATACATAGCTTTGGCAGATGACATTTTAAGCATTTTGGATTTACTATGAGTGAAATGCAGAGCCACTGGAGGCTCCTGTTACAGTTGAACAGAATCTCTTTGATGTGTTTAGAATAGATCATAGAGGGGCAAGGGTGGAAGCAGGGAACAGTAAGGAGACTATTGCATTAATCAGGGCAAGATTCAGAGTGCCAGGCTGGGAGAACATCTACTTCTAGATATGACTAAGATGCCACTGGGAAAAACCTATGTTGTTGTTGTTATGTGCTATCGAATCGGACTCGACTCATAGCGACCCCTCCTTGGGTTTCCGAGGCAGTATCACTACGGAAGTAGGATTGCCCAACCTTCCTTCCGAGGACAATTCTGAAACTTGAACATCGTACGAAAACCAACTACATGAACGTACTGAACTTCAGTAGAAGTAGATAGACTGGTAGGTAGAGTAAGCTTACTCAGAGCAGGGTTGGTGGGGAACACTACCAGGTCCCCATATTCTTGGCGTTTAGCATGGGGCAAGTGCTGTACAAGAGTCGGGCTCAGCAACAGCTCGGTTTCTCTGCTTGAGGTGAAACAGAAAAGTAAAGCCAGGAAATCTTGAATGCAAGAAATTGAAGAATCCCACAAAGCAAAGAGCCAAAGAGCAGTATCCCCAAACTCTGTCTACCTACATCTCTGACAGATCCTAAATAAAACACACAAAGCAGCTCAGTTAAGAACAAAAGATGTGTACTGAGGCTAGAACTGCCCCCTAAAGTACTAGAGTTTTCAGTTCAAAACCAGAAAATAATCTACCAATACAATAATTTATCAGAGAAAAATAATAAAACCCAGAATACCCACAGTTTAATATTTATAAAGTCCAAATGCAATTCATAGTTATCTATCACACAAAATGAAGAAAGAAAATTGATCCCATTCTCTAGAGTGTAATCCTGAGGTAAATCAGATGTTGGAACTAACAGATAAGGATTTTAAAGCACTTGTTGTAACTGGAGCTCTGGTGACATAGCGCCTAA